AAAAAGATTAATTTCTCTAATGATTATGTTGAACTAGCCTTTATTTGACATAGTATGTTAACAATTATGTTGTGGGTAAGTGTGCTTATCAGCTCAATATCATTAGGCTAAATTAATTTTACTACATATTTTTATTACTTATAATACCTTTTCATATTTTAAAAATACTATAGTTAATTTACCAATATAATCAAAATGATTTTTCAATTAAAATAATTTTGTTGTATTTTTGATAGTTCTTGATATATTTTTATGGTAAGCATAAACTAGATCATGGAAGCTATTTTTTTAGGCTCTTCATTTTTTTCTTTTTTAATTATATTGATTAATATCATTTTTGAACTTTCTCGAGGCAACAATGCTCTCTAAATGTGTGGTGGAATATATCAACATATCTATTGTTTATGTAATACTTGTTTAAAATACATAATACTTAGGAAATTATTAAATGATATCACATATATACTTATTATGATCAATTTGTTGATGAGTCACACAAGACTTATCTGGCTCATAGGGTCTACACGGTCTCTATAATTCTATTCAATTTGAATATTTTTGATTGTATATTATTCAACACTTTTAGAGCTCGTTGATTTGAAATTTCACAATAATTTAGATTTGTTCGATGTTTTTGTATATTAGTCTCATTATCATTGATATCTTTAGTTTTGTGGGCAATTCTCATGATCATATATATATGATCATGATGAAAATTAAAATCTATCCACTCCTACATGTGGCTTTTTGTGATGAATATTTACTCCATAAAACTTGTTTTCCCTTAAGAATAAGGTGTTTTTATATTCAAATATGAGTGTTTTTAACTATGATTTCATACACCCTTTGCTCTAAAGCCTATCAACATCGTTTGTGTTTCCCTAGTGAATGTTAATCACATCTCTCATTCATATGACTATCTCTATATTGAAAAAGTTTATCCCTATTTTAGAGTTTTGTTAATCTACGTGCCCTTATTTTGAGGTTGCATGTTCCATGGTTAACCCTCAATGATTCACTGGTTCCGACTAATCACTTATCATCTCTTTGCCCCTTAACATTTACTATAAGCATATCATTTTAAATATTGAACATATCGCCATATATTTTCTAATAAATGCTCTAAAAATATGCTCAAAGATCATTTTTTGGGCATCATAAGCAAATTTTCACTAACCATATGAACTTGCTATTTTGGATACCTAAACCCCACTAATTAAGCCAAGTCTTACTTGAAAAAATAAAAATATCTAAAAGACAAACTACTTAACAACTTGAAATTAGGACATGGGGCATCTTTCCAAATATACACCACCTTTTTTATTTTTGCAAAATCTTGATGTGTAATTTTCATCTAATTTATAACTTTGATTTCATTCTCTATCATCAAACGTTTTCTAGCATATAATAATTTGAATTAAAAAAAAGGTTTACATGCATATCATTCAATTCCTTTGTCTTGGCATATCTAACACCTAAAATTTAATATTTACATTCATGCTAATTTACCAATGCATAAAAAGACGTATTTCACATCGTAGAAGTTAAAAATGTGGTATTTTTTATGCGATAGTAAAGATATGGGCGGTATAAATGTAAAAAAAAGTATAGTTTAGGCATAGTTTTAGATTTGTAATGCATAGGAAATGAGTTATGTATGTAAAAAAACAAAAAATATAAACTATTACATACTTAACTCCTTAAATCATATAAACTTTTATTATATACTCATTTATATATTGGATAAGTCCTCTCCTCAGTGCTTGTAGCCATCATGTGCAGCATTGGAATGGCTTTCAAATAAGAAAAAAAAAGGAAGTTTTTGTTTCCCATACATTGGATCAAAGAACTATCATGGCAACTACATTTAATTTATTGGTTATTTCAATCTAGTTTTCTTCTTTCAAGATGGCAAATAAATGTTAACTGAAAGGGAAATTTACATGCATACCACATAGTTCTTATGTATTTACATGCCTAACCCTAATTTTTTATATTTACATTTTGTAGCACTTTGGTGCCATAACCACTATGCATGAAACTGTGTATTTCTTTTTTTAAAAGTAGGTGATATTAAAGATTTGACTGTGCATGTAAATTTATATATGAGTGTTGGATATGTACATACGTAAGAATTGAGCTGTATGTATGTAAACGTTTTTTAAGTGAAATTTTGCTTGCCACCAAAGCTGTATTTGGGTTGATTGAGTAATTGAAATATGAGTGTCATTCGCTGTCGTTGGGTTCGCTTTTATGTTTGACATCAGCGGTGATTTTGAGTTAAAAAGAAAGAAAAGAAAATCCGATTTGCATCTATGAAATATAAATATAGATTTGAATCTTTTCGGTGGCTCAGCTTAAGAAATCTGTCGAGAGAAGGCATATTTTGGCGAGGCACTTTAGTGCCCGAATCATTGTCTATCTATCGATCCTGATTCGTCACAATCAAGATATTGGGAAACTTGTTACCTTTTTTCCAAGCAAGGGTACCCTTCGGCCTTTGGGTACTGCCTTTCCTCTCAAAGGTTTTGCTCCATTCCTCGAGCTAATGCCTCTCTATGGGCATCCATCATCTCATCTTTCAACTCTTTGATTTGTTGCTGCACAAACTCCCAATTGCAATCTATACTATCGTTATCTCTGTTGGGGTTTTCTTCTCCGTTCGGTACTGCACTTCTTATTCGTGGCATAATCCACACTCACCACATTTTAGGATGTTGAATCTTGATTTATCCGTGAATCACTCATAGAAATAGAGCATAAGATAGGAGAGAGAGAGAAAAAAAGAGATTAAGAGGGAAATACAGAGTAATGAATAGTAATTTGAATTGTTGATTAGTCATTTCTTATGAAATGATCCCTCTACTTAAAAATGAGAGGGTATAACACATGAAATTACATGTTTGCCCGTACTTTAATCAGGGTGTTACATGATATTTTAATTTTTTTTTTCATATTTAGGCCTATGGTTCGACTTCCCTGTGACCAGATCAACTAAAACGAATGGGTCTTTATTTGGCAAGATCTATTCATCTGATTGTGCCGAATCGAGGTTGTTGATCGGTTTTTGAAGGCCTTCTGGTCTGCAAGACTCGGCTGATTCGCTTGGCTTGGTCGTCGGCTGCTCTAGTTTGGTTGTCGACCTATTGATCTCTGAGTATGGAGCTTCTATTGACAAAATGAGACTAGACTATGAGGAGAGGATAAATCACCATAATTCGATAGATAACTTATTCCCTGATGAGGGAGTCCTTTGAGATGCTTTGGAGATTACATTATGATCAGTTCTTGGCTCTCGACGAGGGATCTCAAGTGCGTCCATGAGAAGCCTGGTGATGATGTCTTCTTTCTTTGAGTTGAGTTGTTATGAGAGGCAGGTCGATGTCTTTGTTCGGTTTGATTGACCTTAGTCCTTGGTTTTGGTGGCATGCACCTGATCAACTTTTATCCCCATTTCAGGTGGGTTGCATCTAGTCAAGTGTCCTTTAGTCTCTCGCTCGTGGGCCTTTTGGTCTTCCTCTAGTGGGCCCTTCTCAGCTTTAATTCTTTTTTTTTATGTGTCGAATCTCCTCAAGATTTGTGCAGGCGATCTCTGACCTTGATGATGATAAGTTTAGTGCATCAAATATATTCCACTCGATATCGACATTTTCCATTATCTTGAAATTTTGATATAAAGGCCATGTCTCATAAATGAATATCAATCACAATATATAACTCTTCTTGCTTAGTGTCTTACAACAGTCATTGATCATTAAATTTTAAAGATCAAGTTAAAAACATAATTCAATAGATCTTGGAGCTTATAAATATAAAAAAAATGAAATTTAGATGTTTAATATGTAAATACGTAGGAATTAGGTGATATTTAAGTAAATGCTCCTTTTCTGTTATATTCAAAATATTATCATTATAATTCTGATAGGCTAAATTTATGCGACCACTTTGAAGAAGGCATTCACGGTCAAAGAAAAATGTTGACATTGCAAACGTAGAAAAAGACTGCGTTGACTTATTAATATTAATTATTTCATTTATTAAAAAATAAAATGAATTTTAATTAAAAAAAACACATTTATTTATATTATTTTAATTTGGCAATTATTTTTTATACTTTTAAAAAGTATTTGCTCATAAAATTAGAGTCCAATTTTTAAAGAAGCTCTGCATCATACATACAATATTTTCATGTTTCTTATAATTTTTAAATTTTCTGGCCTAAAATTACATTTAATAATTTTATATAAAATATTCTAAAAATGTATTAATAATTCTAAAATTTTAAAATTAATTTTAAGTTAACTTAAATCAGTTCTAAGTGAAGTAAGTTTAACTTAAAGATGATTATAATTAATTGAAGGTAGAAATTAAATTGATTTTTTTAATTCAAATTAACCTAAACCCACTTAAACTCCATGTGACATGAGTCTTAATTACATCTTATATAATATTTCAAAATACATCTACTATTATATAAAATATTATTAATTATAATTTTTTTAAAATGAAATCTTTTTTAATATAATTGTGATATTAAATTATTTTATTTATAAAAATCAAATATTACAGCTGTAATGAAAATTATTTTAGTCATACTTTTCTATATATTTATCACATGAATGGCCGAAGATGGCGAGAGTTTAAAAGGTAGGGTTTTGATTCTTAAGGTCTCTTTTATTACAAAGCTCTCTCTTTTGATCTCTTCTCTTCTCCAGAAAGTTAAAAAGGTAGCGAAAGGAAGGAAGAAAAAAAAGCCAAAAATGGCGGAATACTACTGTTTCTTCAATAAGGTCCAGTAAACTATATTGGCATTTTTCTTACCACCATCTACCTCTTTCTTTTGAGTTTATATACTTGTACTGTTCCAGACTTTTAGTTATTGACAAAGTTGGGATCTTTCTTTTGTTTGCTTTCGTGAAGTGGACATGGTTATCGTTCTTGTTTTCCATTTTTTGCCTATTTTTATGGCTGAACTTCAGACTTTTTATTTTAAATGTAGAAATGCTCCGCTTTTTTCATTTCTAGCATAAAAAAAGATCCAATTTTGCATCTGTTCTGTGTTAAAAGTTCTGTAATTTTTTTTTTCAAAATCCCATTTTTGAGATCATTCGGGAGTTGGGACAACGCATTTTCTGTCCGAAGAATCCCTAACCCTTTACTTCTTCTTTGTGCTTCTTCCGCATCTGTTGTGTCTCAATGTGGCTCACATTACATCGAACTCTAACTTCTACTGTACTGTTCTTTGATAATATTTTTTATTGAATTAAGTTTGGGGGCGTGCTTTTTTGTCTTTTTTAGTATTTCTGTTTTCTCTGTTGGAAACAAGGTATCGACTTTCTTAGTTTTCCTTTCCTCATCTATCTCTGTTGCAGGATACCAATAGCCTCATTATAAAAGCTCCCAAGAAATCACCAGCAGTGTTAAGGATGGTGGTCTTAGCTGCTGTAATACTCTGTAGCATTTACATATGCTTTGTGTGTTTGAAGCAAACCCGAGAACACAGTGTGCCTCATACAGAAAAAATTAAACTAACAGAAAAAACTTGTCATTATCCCACATTTTCCGAATCACAGCTTCGTTATGTCAACTACCCCAGACCCACAATTTATAGCAGGTATTGAATTATACTTTTTTCCACTGGTTTTGATATAGATTTTCGTAGAATTTTGGGTGCTGATCTATTTGTTGATTTCAGGGAAGAATGCTCGTGCACACCGGTTCGCCTCTTCGCAATTGTGTCAATGCAGAGGTCAGGAAGCGGATGGTTTGAGACTTTGCTCAATAGCCATGAACATGTTAGTTCTCATGGAGAGATTTTTTTTAAAAACGAGATGAGAAAAAATATGACTATGATTACGAAGATATTGGACAAAGTATACAATCTTGATTGGAATAGCAGTGCTTCTAAAAGGCATTGCACAGCTGCTGTTGGTTTTAAGTGGATGCTAAATCAGGTATTTTGTGTAATTTTATTTTTACAATTTTGCTTTTGACGCAATTTGTACATGATACTAGTTAGGTTTGTTTCTTACATTATGCTTTTAAATAAAATTGCCTCTTTTTCTTGGCTTACTTCGGTTACTTTGATGATTAAAGGGATGCTTGAGAGAGAGAAAACAATGAAAGCACACAATTTATGATCTATTTGATTCCCATTTTTGTCAATTTTTAGGAGCATTGCCTTGATTTTGAACTTTTTATGGAAGATGGAGCTTCAAATGGAAACATTAACTTCAATTTTTTCAGTGGTTAATGCAAGGTGATTTATGGTTAGGATTTTCTAATGCAATCAATTTGATGTGAAATATGCATTTATGTAAAGGAAAATTGTATATTCATATGTTGCAAGTTTTTAGTTAATCCAACAAATTTCTTTTAATGAAAATACATGATACTAGAATTTAAGAACAATTGATAATGAAGCGATCCAATAATATTAGAGAATTTTAGCAAAAAATTGGAAACAAATAAAATCAGTTTGGACATCAAATTAATTTTGAAAAAAAGAATTTTGATGTCACTTTTGGATCAAAATCAGTAAATAAGCCAATAATAATTTATATATATGAAATAGATCTAAATTTATCCAATAAAAAAGAATCAGTCCATACATTAGTATAAGGAGATACCTTCTAAGAAAATGATAATTGAATTTGTATTGCCCTCAATGAAAACTTACAATCAACTCGCACTCAAATGATTTAACATTAGAAAGATATGATATTCAAACTAAAAATTTCTAATTGCATGACTTAGATCACTATTTTGATTCCTCATATTCCCATCTAATAAATAAGATTGGGAAAGTTTTAGTTTATGAATTTGAATTAATTCTCAAGAGATTAAAAAATTCACATTTTTATTATTGTTTGCCTACAAGCTGAAAGTCCCCCATGCACAAATTATATGCTTGACAACTTCTAATTGCTTTGCATCACAAGAAAACAATTTGCAGGAGGAACCGGAAGTCACCAAACCAATGCAGCCTATGTTTATTTTTTTATTTTTAAATAGAATGAATAATTTCAAAAACCTCAAGTGAATACTTTCATAAATCCAATTATAGGATCAAAGCCATCCGTTCAGGGTGCTACAACAATCAGTCTGGCTTGAAAATAAAAAATGACTTTGATGAATTGGTTATTAGTTTAAATTGATTCAAAATTGAAATCATGTGAAATCACATGAACTAGCTTAGGTTAGGAAATAAAACAAAAAGCACATTAAAACCAATGAAAAAAAACTATATAAATTATAAATAATTTAATGCTTCATGAAATGCTTCTTACAAAGTTAAATGTGAAGATTCCATTCTTAGTTTTAATGTTTGTGAGATTCCAAACCTGCAACTTTTGTACTTTATGTCAATGTGAACCCTAGCCCGTTTGTGTAAATTTTACTTAAAAAAAAAGAATTTCTTACAACCCGGGGTTGGCCCTTGTTAGCCCATCCAATTGGTTTGGGTTCAAAGCTTGTGTGCTGAATGAGGGGTATCGTGTAAGAGCAATACTTTATGAGCACTAGACATTCTTAGCCCATTTGTGCAATATCATCCTATGCAATAGGTGCTGGTTTTCGTTCGCTAAGTTTTTGTAAAATGAAAGGGTAATTCCTGATACTAATTAGGACAATATTTTTCTAGCATGCATTGTTGTTTGATGATCCTCAATCTTAATTCAAATATGTTTAGAAATAACTTACTCTTGTTGTTTGTTTTCCTTAACGCTTGGATAAAATCTGATTTATTCTATTTTAATGATTAGCATTGCTTGAGATTCCTGGTGATTCAGATATTGCCACCAATAAATATAATTATGCTTCACGATATTTTTTTGAAACTATTGAAACTATGCTTTTCATGAAGTACTTGTATCCATCTTTATAACAAAGGATCAGTTTTTCTTGCTTGGTTCTGCTCTGTTAACTAGAGATGCATCTTTACTAATAATCTTTATAACAAAGCCTCTTTTGCTGAAATTTTCATCATATTAGGAATCAATCCTTTAACTCTAGACGCCTGATCTTGGTGGCCTACAAAATTCGGGGGAGGACCTTAAGTTGCTTTAAGAGATTTTTCTGTGAGGGCTTTTTTTTTTTTTTTTTTTTTAATTCTTACAAATGCGTGATATAGTCTGTCATTATGTAGACCTCATTCATAGTCTTGAGACCAAAATTACAGTCAAGGAAGTAGGTCAAACAATCTTCATATAAACACAAGAATGCTTAGGAAGGGGCTGCATAATTATCTGATGAAGAAACATGAGCAACCAACAAATTAAAGTTTCCCTCCATTCTCACCTTAACAACATCATGAGCCCAAATAAGAGTATAGTCTTCTTTGCACGTTTCCCATCAAAATTCTACTCTACATTTAGGATGAGGAGATTTTTAATTAGCTATAACCACTAAAGCCAAACTTTGGATGTTTGTGTCAATACAACCACTTTCATCGGAGGGTTGAGCATATCATTGAGTCATGCAAATAACTAAAGGAAGACATTGAGAAATTGATTTGACAAGAGTACCTTACTTGTTTTGACCATTACCATCAGGTAAGTTTTGATCATTGTACCGGAGTGCCGAGTAAGTCTCTTGCCTCTTGCTCCATAATATAGACAACTCTGGCCTCAAAATAGTCTAAATTAAGTGCTTGTTATTGGTGTCGCTGTTAGCAACACATGCTTCAATTCCCAGTGATTTCTGATTGTCAATTGTATTTCCATCGATATTCTACTCTATTTAATTTGGTCTAGTGTCAAAGACTCTAGCAGCTTATAGGGATTGCTGTATGAGTTAGACAATCATTTGATGAGAGTTGAAGGGACTACCACTTTATTGCACTAAAAATATTTCCTTGACGAGTGACTCGAACCAATTTGTGAAAGCCAAATTTGAGTCAAACTACAACTATATCTTTGGGAGGCCCCTCTAGTTAAATCTTTGACACTGTTGCTTTTGTCATTTATGTGAAGGTGAATTCTATGATCCTTATTGGGACCACTGTGGTGCGGGAAACAAACATGTGGCACAATTATTAAAGAAAAGCTTACCCATGTTCTTTGTGCTCTTAACATTAATAATTTTGACCTTAGAGAGTAGGAGAATTGCAAAGGGCGACTCACATTAAGGTTTTGGTTTCTATTGCATTGTTAAAGGAGCATAAAATTGGGTCCTTATCCATGATGAGGAAAGGTAGGAGTATAGAGACTTCATATGTAAAAATTTAGACTTGAGCCCAATGAAGAAGCCTGATATTATACTTGAGATAATCATGCACTCTCTTAAAATTGATCCAACAAGTCAGGCATATCATTCAAAAAGAAAAGAAAAAAAAAAAAAGGTTTCAGATTGCTTAGAAGCAATAAAATGAGACGTCAATAAACTTTTTAAGGTGAAGTTCATACATGAAGTACATCATTTTGCCTAGTTGGCAAATGTTGTCATGGTCAAGAAGGCCAATATGACTGACACAAGTGTGTTTATTACATAGATTTTATGAGGTCTATCAGAATGATTGTTATTCTCTCCTTGCATAAATTAGGCGGTCAATGCCACTTTCGAGAATCATATGCTTAGCTTTGTGGACCCTTATGTTACAATCATTCAAAATGAACCTTTTAGTCTGAGAAGTCAACCCCTTCCAAATTGATAAAGGATTATATTTTTATTGGATGATGCCCCTTGGACTTAGATATTGAAGCCATCCATTAGAGCTTTGTACACAACATTTCTAAGGGTCTCATAAGGCGCACCATGGAGGTTTATGGCCACGATATGCAAATATAAGGTTTTGAAATGCCATAATATATCTCCAGCCTTGATTAGTAGTTCCATTTCCTTCTACATTACATAATTTGATTCAATCCAACCAAATGCATCTTTGAAGTCACCTCAGGCAAAGTTCTTGAGTTGGTAATCCATCGAGGGATTGAATCCTACCAGTAAATGATAAAGCCATTTATGTATATTTTAACCTTATGGAGTATTATCTCAACTCTTGAATGGGTGAATAACAATTTTTTCTTGCTTTTTGGCTTTCTCGAGAGATAAGTATTTGTCATTCTTTATTTAGGCTTCATGTTTTTTCCATTCTTGATTTTTGATGTAGAATATCTAGCATCTTCTGTGTTGAGGGTTATTTGTCTATGTTTGGGATAATTGTGCAACTTTAAAACTTGATGCTAGGATGTTTTTGTTAGTTTTTGGGAGAGGAATCAATTTGTTAGGACTAGACTGTTAAAAGATTAAGATATAAATAACCTCATTTTTCATTATTTTTACTTAAACAGATAGAAACTAATTTATAATAGATTAAAATTTTGTTATTTGATGATCCGAGTTAACTCAATTTAAGTATATTATGGTGCTATTGCCCTTACAACTGTGCTTAAAAAATCCTTATTAGCGCTTTTCATATTGGGAAAACTTCGTCATTTTGATGATAGAAAGGTAGGAATATAAACACATTCTATGTAATTTTGGGTTCATGCTTCTCAGTACAGTGCAATATTTTAATAAAAGAGAGAATTTGGAGATTTCCATGTGTCAATGAGTTTTACATACATACCACTCATTCCTATGTATTTGCATATCTAACAATTAAACTTCAATTTTTATTTGCATGCATTGGTGGTATTTTTAATGTGATATGAAAAGATTTTGGTGGTCTTAATGTAAAAAAGTTAAGTTAAGGTGTTTGATATGTAAATACATAAGAATTGTGTGGTATGTACGTAAATGCCCCTAACTTCTAAAATGTTGAAGATGCAAATTACATTTTCTTTGTAATTTCATCTATAGGAGTTGATGTTTCTACCCCAACATGAAAGACTCTTATCCTCATACCCTTCGAATGATTTTATAAAGGTTTCTTCTTTCCATTGTAGGGACTGATGGATCATTATGAAGATATTGTCGACTACTTCAATCTCAGGGGCGTCTCCGCAATCCTTCTGCTTAGGAGAAATCATCTTCGACGGTTGGTCTCTTTGCTCGCAAACATTCATGATCAAAAGGCCAAACAATTGAACGGAACTCATCTTGCTCACGTGCATTCCAAAGACGAGGTATGGACTCTCTAATACATAATATTTTCATATTTAGGATCTGTTCGGGACAGGTACTGTTTCTAAAAATAGCTATAGAGTTATTGTTTAAAAAAAATGATTTTTCTAAAGCCGCTGTGGGTATTATAAGTTCTTTACGACCGCCACATTCTAATATATTTGGTTCTAAAAAAAACTGATTTTTATGATTGAATAATTTGAAAGCAATAGAGAAGTTTTCTGGAAAGCAAATTTGTGAATAAATTGCACTAAAGTGAGTTTTAATAAGCTCTTTCCTAACATTAAATGGTCAAAAAAGGCAGATATTCTTGCAAGATTCAGGCCCAAGATAGATATTCAACATTTAATGAGTACAATGCAAGACATGAACAAATGGTCTGCTGAAGCTTTGCAAAACTTCAAGAACTGCCGCCACATGGTTCTATATTATGAGGATCTTGTTCAGAATCGAACTGTAAGCAATACAAAACTTTTTAACGCCATTTTATGCATAATAGATTTTGATAATATATAGAGATTAATGTGCTGTACAAGTAAATATAAAAAATTAGTTTTTTGATATGTAATTATAAAAGAATTTTGTCTTATTTATGTAAATCCCCCTCATGTTTTTTAGCTTCTAATTATGGGTGTCGTCACCTACAGAAGATGAGAGATGTGCTGGAATTCCTGAATGTACCTCAGAGAAGATTAGTAAGCCGCCATGTGAAGATACACAGGAGTCCACTGAAAGAGCAGATTGAGAATTGGGATTCTGTGGTTGAGGTAATCAAAGGCAGTCAATATGAAAGTTTCCTTGCTGCTTCTGATTATCAGATATAACTTGATGACTGTAAATAGCTTCTATATTTTTTTTTATTTGTATTTCTGTAATGATATTTTTTTTGGAGCATTTACATACATACCCACCCAATTCTTTTATATTTACATATCTAACTCCAAACTCTACTTTTTACACTTCTATTGCCCAATTCTTTCATATCACATCAAACATACGATCATTTTTAACTTTTAAAAGAGGAATACACCTTTTCATGCATGGATGAGTTGGCATATATGTAAAATTGAAGTTAGATATGTAAATACACAGGAATTCAGTGATATGTATGTAAATCTTCCTATTTTATTCTTATAGTAATCTGCTTTTACATCAAAATCTAGTTTGAGTGGAGTTTCTGCTGCAGAAGGTTTTCTTTAGCTTTTGTCATTATGTTTTCAACACAATGATGAGTTTTTTTTCCTATTTGGAGATAGATGAAATTTAATGTTTAATCAATTAATGAAACTACAAAATTTTATGCTTTTCTAAAATGTAATTCCTAGGTTGTATAGTTTAGGTATCAGCTATATAGGATAGTTTTCATGGTGGGAGAATTATGTAGAACAGCACAATTCAAGAGGAACATTATGAACTCTTAAGAAAGTTGTGTTGGAATATTAAAGTAGTAAGAGTTCATTTTTTTTCTGCATAAAAATCTTGGACATGGATAAATTAGAAGTAGCTTATATGAGATTTTCTTACCTTGAAATTTTGGAACTAGAGAAAATCATGTAGTCCATTCGGACATAATGCTACTTGTGACTTGTGTTTTGTAAATGTGCATTTTCTTATACTCGTGAACCGAATTAGCACAATATAATAGGCATAAATTATTTTTGATGTTTTTGGTGGAGAAAATAGGAGTTTTGAGATGTTTAAGATGTCATGAGACAATGATGGGTGGTTTGTATTAGCTCCTCCTTTGAAGATGAGAAATATGTGATTCCGAAGGCAGGTGTTGGATGTTGGTAGCTGATGGCTTCAAATTTCTAGCCTCGGCTTATGTTGGTCCTTAGCAAGTGTTCGGGGATGATTGATTTGGATTGTTTGACGTCTGATGATAGCTCATCTGCTTGGCTGTTGTCTTTATTGGATGGGAGTATGATGACTAAAAAGACGAGCATTGAATGCCAATGCCTAAAATACGTTGGACATTAATATGTGCAAATTATGGTTCATTAGGAACCTTAGATAATGATTGGAGGTATGCTCGATTCTTCTCTTTATAGGAGGGGAGATGGGCGACCAAGAAGTAAGGCATAAGATGTCGGTGCTAGATGGATGCCAAACATTAGTAAGCGTTGAATAATGTTATAATGGGAATGTTGGCTGTTAGGCATTATATGAGGGGAAACTAATGATCAGGAAATTAGGAGTTAGAAATTAGAGGTCGATCGACTTCCGATGATGGTGATGGCCAGCACTGAATTTGGTCGACGATATACATTATTAGCATTGGTCAACAACTAATGTTTGAGAATGATAAAAGTAGACATCAACATTATTCGAAAGCATGTGTTAGCTTTGATCGATCGTCTGCATTGATGTTGATTGATGACAAAGGTCATTGATGTTTGCTAAGAAAGGTTAATGTTGGTTGGTGGTTGAGGTTTTATTCCAATGAGTAACTTTATTATTGGACAAATTTTAATAATAGAGTTTTTTAAAAATGATTATTAAATGATTATAAATTAAAGAAAAAATAAAATTGACAAAGTCGTCGTCCCACGCAATGCCATGTTGCTAAGTCAACATTCTAATGGTAGACTTTATTTGCGTCATTTAGGATGATGAGTTCATCGATTTTAAATGAAATAAGCACGGTAACTATTAATCAAAATTTAAATTGAACCTGTCGTCCCATGCATGCTATGATTCTACAAGACATCTCTTGCCCCATCCACTCATTAGATCACGTTCTCCTTTCCACAAAAGGAGAACACGAAAACGAAATACATAATTCAAACCTAGAAAACGCATTCATCATCTTTCTTCACATTCGTTACATAGGATGTCTCTTCCGAGTTGTATGATGAACCCACAAATAATACGAGATCAAATATCTTAAAAGGATTCAACATGTGCATGTATGGAAAAATTGAAATTTAAATATTAGAAATATAAATAGATAAGAATGGGGGCAATATGCATGTAAATCTTTCATTATAAAAAGAATGAGACCCGCCAAGCCATTCGCTTCCTCTACGCGCCTCTGCTTTTACCCGAAGCACGCAAAATGCCTTGCTCCATCACCGCTAATAGTGCTTCCGGAGCAGTGCGCTGCATGTTCTCCTCCCCATTATTTCAATATTTCTGAAAAAGTATAGCTACATATATATATATATATATATATATATATATATATATATA